CAAATCATGAGTCCAGTTTGATGCTATGCAAGTCTTTAGAAAAACCAGACGAAGTGCTTTGACTTCCCAATGTTCGATGGGACCACTTACTAAGTGATGGGTCTGATGGGAAAATGATCGAAATATTCACGAAATTGCTTGTAGTTACCTTTTCGAGACCTCCAACACTTGGGTTAAATCTATTTCAAGATAATCAGCTGAACAATCCACATTGCTAAGCAGTATATTTCTTGGAGAGCACAAAATTGCTAAAACTGTAAACATAAAGTACTTGCGATTTGACGTAACCATTTATTTGCTATCTGGCAAAAAGTCGCCTTCTCCCCTTTCCTCCGGGATCAGGTCGCTTCTTAATCCGACTGGACCAGCTTATAATTCGTCTGTTGTAAAAAGGATAGAGGAGGTAGCATGAATAAAACTAAGAGAGTATAGAAACATACACATATTGGGAGTCTTACATATGTGGTTATCTGAGTCCTTCCAGGATAATACCACTTTAAAATATCCAGAATGATATTGTACAAAACGATAACCTGGATGGAGTTATGATTATTTTTCGAGAATGATTCGCGAAGAGCCAAAATCATCAATAAAAAATTTTTTTTCCTTTTCAAATGCTGTATGATTTATACAGGCACAAATACGACTGTACTCCTTTTAGAATTCCCCTTAGCAGCTTCAAACGGTAAACTAGAACTGATTTGGTGATTTTAACTACCCAAAAGTGCGCAAATTTCTACGAAAAAAGTTCACATCTACCTTCAAAAGATCGTTTCGCAAACAACGAACACAGATTTAGAATCAGCTTTGGAGGAGGAGCTTATGGTATACATATTAAATGCCTACGGTTCTTTCCTTGGTTCGTGGTAGTATTCGAGGCAGCATTTCATCCTTTTTCTGTTATGAACCCATTGCAGCAAATTCAATAACCTCTCGAAAATTTCCAAAATGCTTCTCCCACCCATGCTTTTTGAAAGGAGATCAGATTTCACAATTTTTCTGGATTTTTATACCAACCCGCAGGAGTCCAAGTAACGGGATGGATAGAGCAAACCCTATAGAAAACACCACAACTTTCTTCTCCTTTCCATTATTTTTTGATGAAAGTTCCATCAAAACAACTGCATTCTGGCAGGCTTACGTCAGACAAAGCGTAACAACCACAGATAAGGTTCAAAATTTGCTGACAAGGAAGCATTTTCTATAAAGCGCATATCAAATCTCGAATTTTTTGGGTATAACCGGAAGCTTTAAAAACATGAATGATGATGATTTCACCCCTGAAGACTCCATGAGTTAACAACAGAACGTATCCGTGAAAAAAAAAAAGAGAAAACCCTGTATCAAAGACACCCAAGTTGCTCGCCGGTTCATGTTCTACAAGGTTTGAGTTGGCCAAAATTGGTAGCATCAGATTAAACTCAATTTGAAAAAAGGCAACAGGCACGAAGTTTTCGCTCGATTGGCCACCCAAGTTCCAAAAATTTTCCTGGGTTGCAAGAAGTTCGTGAGATGCCGAGTGGCTTACGCTCTGCTCAACAATACTCTAGAAAACTTTCCGAAAGCTATTCAGCAGAATTGCAAAACTGTATAGCCTGAATTGAGTTTGTCTTCACCACTCGAAGTTCAAATGGCCATAGAGATCAACTATCTTCTGATTATACATCAACAAAACGATTAAGTGGGGTGATTGGTAGAGACAGACGCTTACGAAAATCATATAGAGTGCGAGTGTGCAGGTGTATAAAGTGCATTTGTGCGTATGTGCAAAAAAAAGATTAATAATGCTGATAGATTTGATAGTCGGTATATTCCAATACGGTGCTTACAATACTTGCACGTGAAAGTAGCATAAGGCGCAAAACCGTAGAACTCTTTTACCGTCTAGTACGCACTAGTGCCACCATGGAGTGTTGTTGGCAGCACGGACACTATAACCAAAGTGATTTACTTAACGTAATAATCTAACCAACTCTAGTAGGTCGGTCCGACAGTTCGTGCCGTTTATTTGGCCTACCCTCAAATCGTTCGGAATGATGCTAGGCAAACTCTCCAAACAGTGTTCGATGCAGAAAATCTTCCTCTTTCTGGCTGTGATGTTTTTGTCCCGAGAGCTTTGTTGGTCGTTCGATTTTCAGGATTCCCGTCTTATTGTTTTCAGCTACCTAACATACCTACTCTCCAAAATGTTCCTTTTAGATTTTCGGACGAGCTTAGGTAATATTTGGATAGAGTAAACCAAGTGTAACACAACGTGTTTAAGCGTCCTCAACTAGCTCCTAAGTAATTTCGAAAAAGTTCTTTCAATTTTTGCGAAGTCGTGAATTACGTAAAAGCTTTCAACACTTATAAATCTTCGAAATTTGGAACTTCCAAGGATCGATTGTGATTGAACACCTTTTTGCAAGGCGAAGGAGTCAGCGCTTCAATCAATTTTTGAGTTCTTCGGATAAAGCCCCGGGTAAGTACATAAACAAGAATTATAATCACCTTTGACTGGCAGACTTCACTAAAGAAATAACCCGTTAGAAAGAGAAGAAGCTTCATTGAATGACACCATGGCTGCTCGCCGTTTTATGTATCAACCAGTGGCGTACCGAGGGGGGGGGGGCGGGGGGGGGGGGATGGGCGCGCCCCCCCCGAGAACGGGTCGCCATATTTTTGAAAGTTACTTACATGGGTTATAAAAATGTGCAGGTGACTTGTTTACTTTTGTAAACAATTAAAATAATTTTTAAAAATTTTTAAAAATTCAAATTAGTCTTGTAAAAAAATTTTTTCGGGGGCGTGGCTGACGCCACGCCCCCTTTTTCAGATTTTAGGGGTTGGGGACCCGCAAAAATTTTGAGAAACCCCCCTAAAAATTTTTCGGAGTGCGTGGCTAACGCCACGCACCTTCATTTAAAAAAAAATTTTGCCGCGCCCGCCCCCCCCCCCCCGAGCCGAAATCCTGGGTACGCCACTGGTATCAACAGGTTGGGGTTGACCAAACAGGAATTTGGTGGCACCAAGGAAATTTTTTTGAAAAGCAGCTATAACTGCCAAGAAGCGTTGTGTTGCACTTTGTTTACTTTATTCGTGGAAGCTCTTCCACATGTCTGAAATGATTTTGAAAAATAGCTAAAATGAAGGCAGGTGGAAACCATGGACTGGAGATCCGACGATTTTTCTAGCGACCCAAATTGGAACAAAAAAGTCCCTAATAGAAAGGGAACGATTTTCTGCATTGGACATTAGTTACATTACATTATGTCAACATTATTCTGAGTGATTTGAGGGTAACAACGGCACGGACTTTCGGACCGGCTCAATATCAGGACTATTCTGATGGAGCAAAATATGAAACAAGGAAATTGGTAGTGTTATCAAGAACTTTCGCATCCAGAATACAACAGGTAGAATAAATCGAATAAGACAAAAGGGATTCTAAACACTTACTATAGAGTAATGAGAGGAAGAACATGCACTTTAGTGCCTCAAAGTCTCTATAGATGATATCTGCGTAGGTGAAATAATTATCGATAACAAAAAGAACAACTCGGCTTACTGGCTATCCGTTGCCCTCATTATCGTTTCACGGTGTTTCCGGTATGTAACAACACATACCTGGCCATTAAATAGAGCTGTGCAAATTAATGGACAATGGAAAGTGCAGTATATTTTTAGATCTGAGCAGAGTACTAATGACGGCACCCATTTGATCATTTTTTGTAAATCTACGGTATTGGCAGAGAGGGAAGGAAAAGTGTACTTTTTTGACATACTTGTACAAGTAAACATATCAAAACCACTGTTTTTCTTATATGCTGGATTAACTTTTGGTCCTCGTTCAAGTATATAACAGTTGATGACAGAATAACTGGCGATATGAAATTTAAATCGTTCGCATTTTTGAAGTCAACTTCTCTAGATAACATGCACAGTGGGTAAAATCTCCACATGACTCTCAAAACAATCATCATGTTTTCTCCTTTTTTAAATTAGGAGAAAAGTCTTCGGGTGATAGGAAATACGAGAGAGATGATACGGTAAGAATTGTGCATCAGAAATGTACGAGCTAGAAAAAAGGCTGTATATAAATTCTTATAGCTATTGCTTCATGGAACAACTTTGAGTTTACAGTCCGAAGACTTACCGGAATAAAACTAAACTAGGTAAAAATTGTTCAGATAGGAGTGTTTGTGACATAATCACTGCACACTTCAAACTAGTTAAGAAGCAACAAATAGGGCACGAAACAAACTTGTACCATCAGGGTGCTCTAAGCAAAATAAAATCCATAATAGTTGTAGACTTTGATGACATCAGTTCAGACTTTCACAGAATATTCCAGTCGCAAAAGCTTTAAGAATGAAATATTTGGAGTGTTTGGCTGGAAATCCGCGCAAAGTGAATCTTATTTATTCAGAATCCGTACACGGAAATCATAGAAATAAAATTGCTCGTAGTTTCGGATTCACTTTGAAGAAGAGTTCCAGCACTTTATTAAATAATGCTTATTGACGATTTCATGTAAAAGAAATTTTGGTGAGTAGCCCTGACTTACTGTAAAAGAGGACCAGTAATTATAACGAATCTAAATGCGTCTTTGCAGCATTTCAAAGAATAGAAAGATAATTTTGTAAACATTGAGCTGAGTCATAATTCGCCACGACTAGGAATGCATTATTTCATGGTCTCGTTAAATGGAATTGAGAAACACATCGCTTTCATAAAAAACAATTATTGAAAAGAAGAATTTAGCGGGCTGTACTGCGTTTGGGTATTGTAGAAAAATTATTTTGAATTATTTCCTATTTCTCTTTCCTTTTTATTATTTCCTATTTCCTAAATCAAAGAGCCTAATAAACTTATGGGTGAAATTCCCTGCAGTCCATGAATCACCACGTATGCGTTTGGCAGATTTTCCAGAAGAAGAAAAAAGTATGGCAAGGAGCATTAATTGGCTTATACATCCACTCATCAAGAATTTTTCAAAGAAACTGATAAAATATACTCACCATTGCTGATTTCGTCACTTGAGCCATGTTGCCAGCGTGGTTGATTTGGGCAGTGGACCACCAAATCCGAGAGCGTAGGGTTCCCCAGTGGTGACCGGACTTGAGCCTCAATAAGTGGCTCTGATTGATGCTCTCTGAAATACGTTGCGATGAAACTTGATCCCGACAATCAACGAGCAACGAAATCGAATAAACGGATAAATTTCCTGCAACTGAGAGATGTAGATTGGGGAGGAAGTCGAATGAGCTGACCGAACATTAGTTCAGCCAGCTGGCATCATAAAAAGGACTTCAATCCAAAACACTCTAGTTGATTTGTACGGAAAGTGCTGGCAAGAAGTCAGCAAACAGAACGGAGATGTGTCAGGGAAAACGAATCTGTCGAATGTGGAAACCCTGTGTACCGGAGTTTAATTATACTTGTCTGACCGTTCTGATCTCTCAACATTTTGATTTTTGGCAGCCCAGAAAACGGCATCATCCATATTTTTAATCCCTTATGTTTCTGCAACCGCTATAGAGAGAATTTTTTGGGGAAAACAGGGACAGTGCTTTCAAGATATAGGTTTGCAACACGACAAAAATTTTTTGATCTCCGACAGAGGTTCGATCCGATGTATGGTGCAGTGAAAAAATCAAGACATTTCGCTTTGTAATACCGCATCAAAGATATTATTTGGCGATGAAAGAACACGAACCGTAAAAGTTTTTTGGCAAAAAACTCTTTAAAATTGAATTTTTAGCGAAATACACAGGTATGAAACCTATGACTTGTCCATCTTCTGAGAAAAGGGCAGTCAAGTCTCAGTCTTCAACTCTCAAACTGCCTAGGTTTTTCTATTAAGTCGCAACATAGGCTTTGTTACACTTTTTCATCCTTCTCTAATATGCTAGAAACTTGGCAAAGCCTCATATATGGCTTATATGATGAAGAAAAAAGCTATCCATTAGCATAATTTTCATCATATAGCAATTTTGTGACGGCACTTTCAAACGCCATTTTTTCCTTTCCTTCAAGAACTTCACTTATCTACTTTTACATCTTTGGATTGTTTACGGAATACAGGGAGCGTCAGTGCTGATATGGAGGCAGTTTGAAAAGTTGAACCCCTCATTTTCGAGTGTTGGAAGTTTGCAGAAAAATGATTCTGGAATTTTTTGAAAATTCGGGAAATTTTTCATGTGTGACATGTGTACGTCGAAACTACAGGCCAAACGCAGTTTAAAGATGAGAAGAATATTCTTCAGGGGAATTACGAGCGCTTTTCCGATCAAGTCTAACAAACTCATATTACGACAGATTTTTTCGATACTTCAAATCAGGATTTACTACGTGTTCCGGTTTTATATTTGGCACAGTCCGCCTTTTGTAGTTAAATTGCTGGACTTTTTCTCGAATAAAGACCTCGAAAGGTTAAAAAATTGGTCTAGGCAATGAAACGTTTCCAAAATATAACAAAAGTTGTGTTATAATGCCGGAGCTTTCCCAAAACGATATACCCTATTTTCCGGCGCATAAGCCGCAATTATTTCGTCGCGCGCGGGCTGATGTGCGATGATGATCGCGATGTGCGAAGCCGCGCAAGCAGCCAGCTACCACCTATTCTACCTAGTAGCCTGATTGTAACTTTCTGTTTTCGCTCTTTCTTGTGAAAGCATTGGAAGCACCATTGAAACATCAACAGTCATCAGCAATCATTAAAATCGAATGAAATAGCAGCAGCTTCAACCTCAGTAACATCTTTAAAAACAAAAGAAAGCACCGTCAACTCTCCATTGTATCCTTGAGGAAAAAACACAACCCAGCACCTCAAAATCGTCCAAATCTCTGGAAATAATAAAGAAATACCTGGAAACGTGAACATGCGCAATGAAAAGTGTTCACAAAATGCAGCGAGTTTCCACTTTTTTAGATCAAAAACTTTCTTTTCGAAGGCTCTTTCGCGCCATTGTTCGCTGCGACGGGTGCGGCTTATAACAGGAAAATAGGGTAATAGCTTTTGAATCAAGTTTCGCCGTTTTTTGTCATTGCTTGAAAAGCGTGAAATGCAGCAAAAGCTGTGGAAAATTGCTCCTGGAGCTTTTTCAAAATGATACAAAAATTTTTTTCCAAATCAGTTTTTGCTGTTCTTTTAGCATTGCTTGAGGAACATGACAAAAACTTCGCAAAGATGCATAACATCCATGTATCCATCAGATAAAAAAGAAAACTCATAGCTAATCAAGTACCTCATTGGCAGGTATGCATTCTATAAGCTTTAGTGAGCAATCGAAAAAAAAATTTGAGAATCCATGGAATACATGTCAGTGATGCTTCTCCAAAGAATTAGGAGCTGCTACTTTGGCTACGTCGTCACCGTATGGACTTCCTGATGCCGTGACATATTATTCCGCTTATGCCACATATTGTCTTGAATAAACTCGAAGCTCTCATTTGGAGCCCAGAGAGCAGCAGAAACAGGACAGGAGAGTGAAAACAAAAGATTCGCAAACTCTATGAAATGCTTTAAAGTAATGTTGAGTCACTTGTTCCTCACCTATGGGCAGACAAAGTGAGCACATTTTGACCAGAAATTGTAGAAAATGGGGAAAAACGCAAAAATTCAGAAAAATTTAAAGCAGCAGGCAACAAAATTAGCGATGTGTATAGCGGGAAAATCTTCAGTGCGAAACAAATTCTATTCATCAGTATGCGTTTCTCAACGTATTGCAATCAATCAAAAGCAGAAATGGGAAAACCCTCAAACCACAAACCTCATGCAACATATGATACGACTGGATACGTGTAAGCTGGAAAACATTAAGTGAAAACTTGTGACTAGCACACAATCACAGGGCTTTCCATTCAAACAAATGCGACATGTTTGAGCATAACGGCCGTTTTTTATTAGCGAATACATAATGGAAATAATGCTTGCCCAAAATAATCACAAAATTCTTTCCATGAGGAAGTTTTCAACAGTCTGTCACTCATTTAATAAGGCATTTTCATTTTATCATTGTAAGTTCATTATACGATAATGTATAGACTGGCGGTAATGCAACCTAACTGAAGTGTTTCCTAGTATGCGACAGTTAGATTTCTTAGCTTTCCAAGCTTCTGGTTTCTCCGAGATTTTTCACGAATCGGCGCACACGAGACAAACAATACGAGGTTTTGCAGATAATGAGCGTTTTTAGTTGATGGCGAGATCAAAAAAGTACGAAAGAAAGTGCAAAATAGATCTTCTGATATCTATGCTTCGTTGAACCTGCACGAAATTGCTTGATGAGCAACTAAGACTTCGCTCAAAGGAGAAAAAGATTGTGGCTGGGAAAGCAGCTTTTATAACTAAAAACTTGATAATTTGCGTGCCTTTAGGAGTTCAGTTCTATGGAAGTCATATATGGGTTGATATATTGGAATATATGCTAGTGCATGTGCTCTTAATCCCTGGTTACGTAGGTTGTATACTTTCTCACTGAAAGTTGCTCATAGTTTATGACCTCCGCGTATGAAAACTTTTCCGTGTCCCATAGCCATATCTCGATCCAAAGTAGACTTCTGCATCCAAGGGCGCCATTTGACTCATCTTTGAGCCGCATATTCTTACATATAGAAGACGATAGGTGACTAGCTTTCAGCAGAAGTTAATGCATGTATAAGTTAGTAGATCCGACGCTTAATGTATGTATTGTCCTTGCTGTTCCAACGTTTGCCGACAACATCTGCGCGTGGACGAAATTCGCGAGCAGAAAATATGTGCTCTATGACCACTCTGCACATGCAAACTGTTGCAAGGCAGATGTCATGTCAACTGTCTTAGATCTACTAAAGTCGTGAACGCGCCTGCACCTAACGGGTGAAAGAAGCCGCGTTCGCGACCTCGAGTCCTGCGCCTTCGTCCGGCAACAGCTTAGGCAGGTACCAGACTTATCCGCTCAAGGCTTCATTACCCTTGCTGAACCACTCGTGCTTTTGCATGGTGGGTTTATGCTGGTTGCGATATGCAAAATTTGGGCTCAGAACGTTGGCTGGAACTCGCTCTATGAAGTTCTTTACAGACAGACACACAGACACACACACACACACACACACACACACACACACACACACACACACACACACACACACACACACACACACACACACACACACACACACACACACACACACACACACACACACACACACACACACACACACACACACACACACACACACACACACACACACACACACACACACACACACACACACACACACACACACACACACACACACACACACACACACACACACACACACACACACACACACACACACACACACACACACACACACACACACACACACACACACACACACACACACACACACACACACACACACACACACACACACACACACACACACATACAAAAACACGTAAACAACCTTAGCTCGTTTGGCAAAAAAAATTTGGCAAAGATTTATGCCCGGAAGGCAGTGCTTCTTTAAAATTTGGTTGTTGAGATTCTTGCATTCTATAACATAACACTTTCGGACCCTGTCCGACCTCGTTGACTTTTTCGCATAGAATCTCCAAAAGCCCTGTTTTTTGAAGTCTTCATGGAAGCAACATGAAGCTGGGCCTTTTCACCTAGCCTCCACCACAGTGGCAGCACACCGAGGAGGTGGGCGTTGAGTGGAAGGACGTATTAAAACAAGTATGGAGGGAAACCGCCGAGTGCTGTGCTGAAATCGTTCAGTGCGGACCACTATGAGCGCATTTGTCTTAGCGTAGGGGGGGGGTCAAATCGAACCAAGTCGGACTTGTTGCATGGCCTATTTAGAGAGCCCTATAGTAAGATATGTGGAGATCCGCGCCTAATTTTGGGCAACTGCATCAAACATCAATCATCTCTACGTATCTACGACATCCATTTGTTTACCCCCTAAGGCCTCGGACCAGGGTCAAGCGTGTTGATGCGATCCTGGACCCTCATTTACTACCCCCCCCCCCCCTTGAACCCATCCGTACGACCCCCCCCCCCTCCCCCTTCCCTCCCCCTCCCCCATCTATCCCCCTTACCTCCCCTGCCCACATTTCTCGCGGTAAACTGCATAAAAGAATGTCAATCTCAAAAAACACCTGCGTGAGAACTTCAGCGAGGTTTCGGAAGCAGA